GGCCTCCTGCCCTCTCTGTGACTATCCTGTTATTCTCATTTAATGTGTTACAAGACACAGCTAAGCAGCCAAGAAGAGTAGTTGCAAAACTCACTCCCTGCAACTACCTGAACCGGCATCCGGCTTAATGGTTTGCCTTGACGCACGAAAGAGACATATAAATACCCACCCACCCTACTCTTGCTTACTGACACCACTTTGGTCTCAGCCCTCCTGTTCACAGAAGCAACAATAAATTTATAAATTTTGCTTTTTAATTTCATTCGACCTGGTTCTTCTCAGCATCGACCTAAAAAGAACCTCTACTGAATATTGTATAGGAAGCACCCTGATAAATGCTTTGTACTTTACCTTATTTACTCCCCAAAAGTAGCCTGAAAAATGCTAATTTTATTTTTCTAACTTTTAAAATAAGGACTTTGATGGGACTCAAAAATACTAAGACACTTACCCATGGTCACAGTGCCAACAGGTATCAGGCAGAGATGGGGTCCAATTCAAAGTCTGTCTGACTACCACTTCCCTCCTAACCACTGCACACAACAACCTCTCAGTTCCTTCTCAGGCCCATGGTTCTAAAATCCCATTGAATCAGAGCTAGATCAAATGAGGGCAGGGAAGGGAGTTTATATTCTTTCCATAATGGAAGACTGGCAGGAAGCCTGTAACTAAGGAAGTTAAAAGGAGGGTTTCACATACATTGTTCCTCCAGAATAGCCAACCCTCTCCCCGCGACACCCCCTCCTCACCTCGCATGTCACACTATTTGGGTCATAGCTTCTCTCTGCTAAATGATGGAAAGGATTTAGCGAACCACAGTCCAGATTTCCTCTGCCCTTAGTGATGGCTACACTTAGAGTCGCCACACTCCCTGGGATCCTGCTTCTTTTTCAGTAAAAAGAGGAAGTTAGACAGAGTTGTCTCTAAATTGCCTTTGAGCTATAAAGACCTGCCTTGGAGACACTCATTTCATATCCATGGAAAAGGAGGGCTTGTCAGGCAGCCCTCAGTGTCTATCACAGCAGCAAATGCATGAAGGTGCACAAGTAAGCACAAATGTGCCCTGTTCAATATGAGACATGTAGCATTGTGCTAATAAAGCTCCTGACCCCCTCTCTACCCTCTGCCACTACCCTCTGAAAGCAGCCCTCCACACTGTGTTGCTGGCACAGAACCTGGTCCCTCCATGACCTGCATACTCTCTGAACTAACTGCCTTTACACTTCAGCCACTCAGGTCCACTTCTCGGCCAGACTCACTTTTACAACCAGTTGATAAGTTCTCAGGTTTTCTCCAAAGAATCTCATAGGGTGTGGGCTTTTGCTTTGACTGTGAGGATGAATTGTTTGCGCCCTCTTAACCCGCTGAGTCAGGAAGCACATATTGGGTGGTGCCAGTGAAGGAACTGTTTGCCTTTAAAGAGACAGTCATATTGCCCCTAATTTGGTGGGTGCTTCAGATTTGCCAAATTGAAACCTTTTTCTCCTTGTGCCCAATCTCACACCCAAATTTCCAAAGCTATATTCGGTATTTTGGGTTATAGTGGTGAATCCAAAAGGCCATTATTAAATGACCTAAACCTTGCCCAGAAAGCCAGGCACAGTGTCTGTCACCTTCCCTGGTGTAGTGGGAGACTGTGGGATCATTCTAGAAGAAGAAAGTCGGCTTATGATTTCATGAATCCTTGGGTGTTCACTGGAGATTATACAATATGGGTTTTGAGTCGAGTCTTTGAGGAGGATCTCAAGTTACTCATTCAGAAATTAACAGGACTCAAGGACAAAGTCAAAAGAGTCCAAACCACTAAGAGTCAAGGAGAAAAGAGGAAGAGGAGGCCTGGAAAAATGTCTCCAGTGACCACACAGGCTCTTTGGTTTTTTTCATATGGTTCTTGCAAGATTGAAAACCTGTATGACCTAACAAGTAAATAGGCACCTGGGGTGTGGATGCAACTTTCCCTCCAAACCTTCCTACCTTCTCCCACCCCAGGTCCAGACAGAGTCAATTTATCCTAGATTTACCAGTGGATGGATGCAACAGGCTCTGAAAACTGTTTTTAGGTGAAATGCAGGCTGCCAAAGTTCTCATGGTTGACAAGATGTTCTAGTTGTTACATCACTACAAAAATACTGTCCCCCTGCTGGCCTGCTCACTCCAAACGCGCCCCCCCCCCCACTGATCACCTCCAACTGACAAACCTCCCTGCTGGTCTGCTTACCCCTAAGGACCCCGCCCCACACCAGCTTCTGACCACCCAACTGCCCTCCCCTCTTGGCCTCTAACCACCTCTACCTTGGCCCCACCACCATGGCTTTGTCCAGAAGAATATCTGGAAGGTCTCCTGGAAGGTCTCCCAGTCAAATTAGCATATTACTCTTTTATTAGTGTAGATATATTTGTCTGTAAATATGGTTATGATTGCAGATATGAGTAGGACCAGGTAAAATTTTATAGAATGGGCCTTTTATTACAGATGGTTTGCCATGTGCATTTTTTAATGTGCATTTTTTCTAAAAGAGTAAAAATTACTTTAA